GGCATCTTTCAAACTCTGCCGATAACCCAGTAATATGAAAAACACCGCGTTGGAGATTCGAATCAGGATCATCCAGATCACAGCTCAGTTGAATATTCAGTTCCTCCTTTCTTTTAAAGATGTAGAATTTGCGTTCTTTTCTTTTTTTCTTTTTAGCTTATTATAGTATAGTTACTTCAGCGTTCACGCACCACATTTAGGTGGCCACACACGCAAACAAATGATACACGCCGATATACCCACATACACAGATACACACACAATCCAAACGTTTCTCCCTCCGCTTCATATAAACACAAACACGCGCGCATGAAGGTAAAATGTATTCCACTGATCTAGGGAGACAACACATAATGTTACTGTAAAAAACAAAACTTAATAAAAAGCAGTAATTTTCATTTATTTGTATATATCTATCCTGACACAAATTTAGGCTATGAGCTTTTTTATACCCAGGGCATGATTACTGAGAATTAGGCTCACAAACACAAGAGGGAAAATCCAAACAACTCACACGCACAAGAAAACGATTTCAAGACCACAAGGAAGACCTTTCTCAGTTATACGTTAATTACGTACAAATAAGGACAACAGTGAAAGCAAGACACACCAGCACGATAATAATATTCTTTTAGTTTGAGTAAAAGTTTTACTGCACTTGCAACACAATAAGGTCGTATAAGTGCTGAAGAATAGAGGTGTTACAAGAGAATAACAAACACAAAATAGAAGGAGGGGAGATAAGGACGATAGATGTTTGATGGGAAAGAAGGAGCAAACCACACCAGAGAATACGCCAACCACCCACTATAATAATATTCTCACATGTGTATACCTCAAATAAGACGTAAACAAAAACTCACCCATTCACTGGGACTGATTCACTTTGGGCACTGAAAATAAAAAATAAATATAAATACTTGGAAAATCTTGTTTCATGTGTAGGTATTTTTACGCCTTCATTGACACAAATAAGAGCATCTACGAGACAAGCTTCCGACCCTACTTGTAAGAGCATTCCAGGGAACACATACATGTACATAATGTTTCTTCAAAACACACACACA